TTAAGGATTTCCAATTTAAGGTAAAAAAAAAGCCCTTTCTGTGAAATACACAGCAGCGTAAGTGGGGTAAATATGCCTTCCTTCCCTCCACCACCCCCCTCGTTTACAGCGTAAAAATGCCTAGGTCTGGCATTACTGTGCATTGCTAGCCAAATAATGTTCTGAAACAGCCATCTTTTTTAAGGTTGAGAAAAAGGACATCTGCTTTTCTATCGTAGTAGAAAGGTATGAGAAGATGATTTCTTTTTTAGGCTTATAGAATTCCATTACACTTTTGTAAGGCTGATATAACCACCAAAGTTTTATCTGTAGGGCCCTACACATTGTTATTGAAGTACAGTGTAATGCAGAGTAGTATATTCTGAGTATTCAGACATTATTCAGGACATTAAATTTTAAGTGCTGAATAATAGCTAATGACGTTTAAAGGATACTGACCGCTTAATCCATGTTTTCCTTCATTTAGTTTTCCTTTTTCTTTTTTTTTTTAATCAACATTAAGTCATGTGTAGCCTGTCAGAATTTTCAAGATTTCTAAACTGTAATTGCATAGGATGCCTTTATTTAGAATACAATTCTATGATTTTTTTTTACTTGGGGCAGTAGTCCAGAATTTTCTTGTCTTTGAAAAACACATCTTTATTATTAGAATTTGTATGTCACAGTATTTCCATTTTTTTTTAACAGAAAAGTAGGACATGGGATTACTGAGATGAGATATTGGGGACCTGGCCATGCATGTTAAGAAAAAGTTTAATGTGAATAAGGAATGTAAATTCATGTGCTAATTCTTTGGTACGGCATCATCACTAGTCTTTATTGCCCAGTTTAAACAATTTCATATAGAGTCCCAAATAGAGTATGTCAGCATTTTTGTATACTGAAATTGGAATTGGTGCTGTACTGATACCAAAAGAAAACCTTAGAATGAAATTTTAGTTTGCATGTCGAGAGCCTTTGCAAACTTCTACTCAATTTGTGCTTTTAAAAAAGCCCAAACCAAAAAGATTTCAAAAGGTTTAATTTCTTTCTAGACATCTTTTTTTCCCTGTATTCTGCTAACTTGCTTCATTTCCACTGTCATGCTTACCTGTCTTGAACAAAACAAGTGTGTAGACTTCCTAGATGCAATATTGCATCAATGACCATTTAAAAATCACATGATTTTAGAAAACCTTTCATTTTGCTTACAGAAAGGACTAGCTTTATTAATTGCATTGCTCTTCATTGATTAATTGATTCGTCTGGTCTGGTTTTTAATTTTATCCTAACTGATATTCCACTTTAGTTACAGCTAATGCTTTAATCAGATTGGGTGGAGTTACTACTTTGACCATTAAAGAAACTGTCTTGATGCAGAATGCCCTATAATTATGCCTTCTATCCAATGGGAGATTAATTAGTATTAATAAGCCATCAAGAAGTAGTGACCTGTGTCTTAGATTTCTAGGACTAAAATGATACTCCGCAGTATCAAGAACTGTCTGTTTCTAACAAAAGGTGTGATTAAATTATTCAGCTCCTTTTAGTCTTTGCTTATAAAAGGGAGAATCTTTTCATTAGCTATTGTCTTCACAGCGAATACTGTAATTATATAATTATATTGAGAAATTTAATTTTTTCAGTACTTCATCTGTGCTGTTGTTACATGCTGCTTCTTTACCTTGCTGTTTAAAGGCAGCCTTGATGTGTGTCAGGACACAGCATTTTGTCTAGTCAGTCTTCTTGCTGCCCTGCTTGTGTACTAAAAGAAAGCTTCTTAAACAATACTCAGTATTTCAATGTAATTTCAGTTTCCTGAGAAGTGTAAACCATTTGAAATATACTGTATTATCAATATATGTGATAAATACAGAGAAGCTGTTAATCCCATCTTGGCTCTCCTGTGCTCTTAACACACTGTGCTTCTATGTTCCCTTCACTACTGTTGATAAATTGA